GCTTCACAGGGCTCTGCAGAGCACACTTTGAGAAACACTGCTATATGTTTTGGCCTCTAAAAGCAAACAACATGCAGTATGACCCCTTTATCTATTGGGGGGGGGGATGTTTCTGACTTTACAATCAAAACAGGAAAGCATGGATCATAACAGACCCTGCTAGAAGTTGCCATAGAGTTACCCTGGCAGACCTAGAAAATCCCTGGAGAGGGATATGAAGCAGATATATTTTGTTAAATGCTGATAGGGGAAACCATGAGTACTCATGGTGGGATTATATCTTTCTCTCTTCATGGGAGCGCTCCAGCGTATTTCAGAGGTGGGACAACTTTTATGGGTCTAGACATGTCCTTACTCAGACCTTGCCAAACTATGCATGTACATATACAGTCTGGAAAAATATTGCCAAAAGTTCGGCAAGCAGCACCATTTTAAATCTAAATCAGTGGTCTCAACCTGTGGGTCCCCAGATGTTTTGGCCTTCCAACTCCCAGAAATCCTAACAGTTGGTAAACTGGCTGGGATTTCTGGGAGTTGTAGGCCAAAACATCTGGGTACCCACAGGTTGAGAACCACAGATCTAAACCCTGTCCCTTCTACAGGGCCCACACCATGGCCTCAAAAAACCTTCTTCAGTAAAGAAAAAGGGAAAGTGACCTGACTCCCAGCATGGGGAGGGGTCAGGAGGCCCCCTGGAAGCCCCCCACATAGACCATGCTATGCCCATTTGAAGAGCTTTGTATTAACTGTCATGGGCTACTGACCAAGAAGAGTTGTCTCTGAGTTTTGCCATTAGGATTCCTTTGCATGCTTTATATGCAGCTGGTATCCAGTAGCAAGAACTTCAGTTTTGTTGCTGTGTTTTTGTATGATACAACTTGTCAATGGACTGTCTTTAATATTGGGAAGATGCATTACTTTTTGTTTTCCAGAGATGCATCTAAAAATCCATAATATAAGCAGTAAGGACCCTGACCCCTTAATTGCTACTGACTAATTTTAAGCCTGTATTTATGCTTCATAAACAGTAAAGATCTGATCAGCAGCTGGTTGGATCTTAATACCAGATGTCTGGAAACTGAAATGTAAGAGCGCTCCTTGCATTTGTTCCTCTTGCCAGAGAAACGGTTCACCAACAAATTCCCACAGGATGAAAAGGCACTTTAAGTGAAAAACAAACTTTTACCCTGGAGTTCCTCACCTAAATTCATTTGTGCTGTAACGCCATAGGAGGTAGGGAATTAATTTAATCCATTGATTGTTCAGTGAAAACAGAAGACAAAGCTTGGTTTTTCCTGCCACAATTATGGACGCCAAGAATAATGTAGGAAGGTGGTTTGGAATAGCTGTCTGGGCAGGTTTTGCAAGTTTTGTGAAAGAAGGAAATAAGACTTAAGTGTCGTTTAATAATATACTTGCTTCATTGTTCTTTCTTACGCATCCATTAGTAGTAATGTATGCATTTTATTCCTCTTCCATATTGTGTCATTATGTTACTTGTGTCACATTACTAACACATATTTAAAGTTTAAGTTAAACTATTTCTGTTTGTTCAGTTGAAGTTTAACTAAGCTGAGTGGGTACATATTATCAGCACCACTTAATAGTGGTGATATCTTTTGCATGGAGAAATGACCTTGGGAGAAAACATTTAAGGTAAATGTATGTTAAAGAAAACAGTTCCGGTTCCAGATTGTATCATCTGAATGGCAGATTAGTAAAGGCAATTGAAAGACCTTGAAACATTTCTATTTCAAGTCAATTAAAGCTGTTAAAAAGCTAGACACAGAAAACAGGTTTACTTCCTGTTGAGCTGTAACAGATGAAAAATGACCTCTTAAGTCTTCCATCAATCTTCTAGGACAGCACATATCAGGTGCCAATTAGCTGACATCTGCAGAGTTGACTGATTTAACCCAGGTAGGAATTTGTATTTAACAAAACTGTTTTAAACAATGCTTAGATACAATGTTATCCTGTGCTTTAAAAGTTACATAAAATTCTACTACGAAGCAATCCCGATTGTATGCCACAAAGCGTTGAATTCTACAATTTGCAGAAATTATACACCTCAAGTAAATGTGTGTAGTTCTTCTTCTTTTGCATTACTCCTTTCATTTTAATAAGAATGGAAAGAGGAAGAGGGAGATGCTAGAAGTTCCCAAAGCCATATTCCCAACAGCTCGAAAAAATATTAAATTATCTTTGGTCCCGGAAATCTCACCATGTATTATCAAATAATGCTTTCCTCATATATAACTATTGGAAATCATTATTTTAAGACCTGGCATGAGGAGAGAGCAGTGTCTTGAATCCCCACCTAGCCTTAGAAACCTTACTTACTTACTTACTTACTTACTTACCCGTAGTCCTTAGAAACCACCTAGATTATCATGAGCAAGTTATACTCTTTCAGCCTTAGAAGAAAGCAGTGACAAATCACCTCTGAATAAATGTTGCCAGGAAAACCCAAGGATTGGGTTATAATACATCAGGGTCAACCTGAAGACATGGAACTATCACAACAAATGCTTAAGTGGAATCTCAGTCTTGGGAAGCAGAATTTTGTGGTTAATTTTGTACTGACTCTTTGATTCTGTATATATACATAGCTCTCAGTTTACAGCATTTGTCCTTTACTATTAGGAATTCCAAACTATGCTGAAAGCATTCACAAAGAATAGTAGTTTTACTGTTGATTATAGATGAATTCCATTGAACATAGTTTGACTGAACTATGGAAAATTGTACCCAAAACGTGCAATTTGAAATTGAATCCAGATAAGACAGAGGTACTCAAATTGAAACTGAATCTAGACAAGATAAAGGTACTCCCTGGTCAGTTGAAAGGCTGAACAGGGCATAGGTTACAGCCTGTGCTGGATGGGGTTACACCCCCCCTGAATGCACAGATTTGCAGCTTGGGAAGTCTCCTGCACTCATTGCGGAGCCTGGAACCCCAAGTCTCTTTAGTGGCCAGGGGAGCTTTTGCATAATTGAAACTTGTGCACCAGCTGCATGCATACCTTGAGAAACCAGACTTGGCCATGGTGGTCCACAATCTTGTTACATCCCGAATAGACTATTGCAATGCGTTCTATGTGGGGTTGCCTTTGAAGACTCTTTGGAAGCTGCAAGTAGTACAGTGGATGGCAGCCAGGTTTCTTACTGGAGCGGCATACCGTGAACATGCATACAAACCGCCCCCCTTGCTGCGTCAGCTCCACTGGCTTCCCATCTACTACCAAATATAATTCAAAGTGCTGGCTTTAGTCTATGAATCCCTAAATGGTTCCAATTCAGCTTACCTGTCCAAACGTATTTCCCTTTATGAACCAGTTTGAGTGCTAAGATCAGCCGGGGAGGTCGCAGGTGTAATTGGTGAGGACAAGAGATAGTGCCCCCTTGGTGGTGGCCCCTAGGCTGTGGAACTCCCTTCCCAGCAACATTAGATTGGCCCCCTTACTTCTGCTGTTCAGAAAAACTTAAAAACTGGCTATGCGATATGCGATCAGGTGTTCAGCAAGTGATAGTATTACTGAGGCAGCTAAATAATAACCATAAGACTGGTGCAATGTTTAATATGTTTTATGTTCATGATATGATGTCTCTTTGTATAGTTTTTTTTAATGGTTCTAATTCATATTTCTATGTTATTGGTTTAGTTATGTTATGTATTGTGTTTATATGTATGCTCGGTAGTGAATTTTCTGCCATTTTGACATGTTGTACACCACTCTGAATCCCCCCAGAGTGAGAATAGCTGTAAAGAAATGCAATATATACATACATACATTGTAGTGATTAGCATATCAGAATGGGATTTTGTGTGAGATTAAGGAGAGCTTCAGGGAACTTATGGGATGGCTTTGGGATAGTTATTCTGTTTTGTGGATGAGGTGGGGGCTTTGAAGAGGCATGTATGTTAGCTAGAGTTCATTGAAGAAAAGACAGAATATGAATGCAAACAGAATATAAACAAGTAGTTAAAACCAAGCAATTATTATAAGTAATATTTGAATGATTTCTACTAGTATGTATAAAGGAAACAATTTGTGTGCATATTTATCCTGCTTTTATTTTACTTTGGGAGAGACCACTTTCTGTTAGAATATGTTTTTTAACTGAAGATCCCTAGAAATAATATTGTATATAGTTACTGTATATGGGAGATGAACAAAGTAATTGCTACAGAATCCATTAAGAATGCACAGATTGAGTATTCCTTATCTGAAATGCTTGGAACCAGAAACGTTTTGGATTTGGATTTTTAATTTTGTTAATATTTGTGTTTGTGTATGGCTACGTAATAAGATGTTTTGGATATGATACCCAAGTTTAAACAAGTAATTAATTAATGTTTTCTCATATATCTCACACAGCATAAATATAATGTATACACAATGTTTTAGTACTTTTGTGCATGAAATAAAATTAGTGTGCATTGAACCATCCAAAAAGCAAAGGTGTGACTGTCTCAGCCACCAAAGTGGACAATTTTGCATTTAGGACTATTTTTGATTTCAGAATTTCAGCCAAGGGACACATAACATGTATTATTTAGACAGTTTGTAGCCTTGTACATAAAGATTTCTAATACTTCATTCTTATTGCTCTGAATTTGTTCAATTAGCACTGTCTGTCAGCTTGTTTCTGATACCTGAAGTGCTTCTTTTGCCTGTTGAACATCCTAAACAACTTGAAAAATGGGTATCTTGAAGAAGGCACATTCTGCTGCCTTCTGTAAATGAGCTCATATATACTTCATTCATTAGTTGAGACTTTGCTACATACGTTTCAATGGGAAATCGTTAGAACGGGGTCTGAACTGCACAGTGCAATTTCCAGCAGTCCTAGCCAAGACTGTTGAAGTAATATATGAGTTATAGTACAGCCATATCTGGAGGGCCACCCAGTATAGGGATGATTTATTATGCCTTAGTTACTGTCAAATTATAATGTTTCTCTTAACAGTACTTTCTTCTTTTCTTTCTGTTTAGGGATTATCGCCAATTGGAAAGAATGCTGGGCTGCTTAATATCACCTTTAAGTATGACAGTAAGTTCTCTCTCTCATCATATGATCTCTAGAAAAATCTTTTTTTTTTCTCATTTCATGTCTTAATGCATGAATTGGTGAAAATGCATTGCGGTGAAATCGTGCTTCACAAAAGATGAACAATAGATTACTATTGATTTGATTGCTTTTATTTATTTAGCACTGCATTCATCATCTAGATAGTGAACCAACCTGAAGCTTCAGTACAGATTGCAATAAAGTGTATTGAAAAGTTAAAACACAATACTAAAACAAAACACATTGTATTTAGACTTTGGTTTTTGCTAGAATTAAATCCAGGTAGCATAATTTGCATATTATTCAAATGTGTATAATATGAAATACTTTGTGCAAATTGGAATAATTAATGTAAATAAATTGCATTAATTATCTCAAAGTGTTTTCAAATCAAATAATTTATTTCAGTCATAGATTAGCACAGGAAATAAAACTCACAGTTTCATACAAACTTGGTACGTTTAGTACATTAAAAATATAAATATAAATACTGAAGCACAATAGAGGTGAGGGAGCGGGAGGGGAAATAGGGTAAAAACATACAATGCACAGGTCTATCAGCAAATTAAAAATTCAAGGAAGGTGATTACTGCATACGCTGTTAACTTTTGGGACTAGTCATCCCCTGGCAAATTTTGTATGCTGCTGCACAAAACTTTGCAGCAGTTTGTAACTGGATTGTAACTGGAATTGTAGATTGTAACCGGAATAGTATGTACAAGTGTTTTTCTTTCACCGTATTTCATTTTAGATACCATTTCTACAGCAAACATTAATCTGGGAAGTCCAGTATGGCTTAACAATTAAAAACGCTGTATTTTGAAGTAGGGGAGCTATGTTTTAAAAAATCTTGTTTGTTCACAAATGTTAGCCCACAGGTCCAGATCTTGCACTAACTTGCCTCCCCTCCCCCCACCAAACCATGGATATCCTCCATTGTGCTCCTCATAGGCTTTAATTTAATACTCAAAATGTTCCCTGAATCCTCTTGGTGTTGCGGGAGACAATTGTGTTATATTTTTAATGCCTCAGGAAATGATAAGATGTTTCAACATAAGAAGTTTCAACATATCCCTTTCCCAGCATGACCTTCTTTTACCTTGCCAAGGTGACAGCCTGTAATCTACTGCTGCATCTTCTGTTGCTGCTGCATCATACAACCAAACATCTCCTTGCGTCACTATCTTAAGTTCTTCCATCACTCTCTAGGACAGTGGTTCTCAGCCTGTGGGTCCCCAGGTCTTTTGGCCTACAACTCCCAGAAATCCCAGCCAGTTTACCAGTTGTTAGGATTTCTGGGCGTTAAAGGCCAAAATATCTGGGGACGCACGGGTTGAGAACCCACTGCTCTAGGACCTAGAGGAGGCTATTGCTCCTCTACCTTTCTTTTTCGCCTGCCTGTTGATTCTTCCATTCCTTGTTTATTTCCACAGCAATGGCAGAAGCTGCCCCTTATTGTTTCACCTTCCCTGTAGGCACCTCCTCTCCAGGAGAGCCTTGCTGATAATGACATCACTTGATCTGTGGTGATAAGAAGGTGCTCAGCCTTGTGAAGAGAAAAAGTGGGATATAAATAAACAACAACAATGACGACGATGATGATGATGATGATGTGAGGAGGGATTAATTTAATTGTCTCCCATTGCTGATAATCACATGGCTGGGGCCTTCTTACAACCTTAGAGCAAGCAACATTGTCTCTAGTGAGGCTTTCCTGGGGAAGTGGGGAACTTGTCAGGAAGGTAGCAGCAGAGAATCCAAGGAGATCCTCTGTAATATTTTTCCCTTGTAATATTTTTCCAACTAGGGAATGTTTGGCACCTAGCACTCACCTCAAGCAAGTAGTAAGGCAGTGACAGCCCCAAGAGAGATGAGGACAGAAGATAGTAATGCCTGCCAGCACCAGTCTGTCTCAGTGGGGGTTGTTAGACATGTGGGCAAATCCAACTTAATCCAGATGTCCACATTTCAAAAACACCGGTGGAACTCCAGAGTTTCTCCGAAGATCTAGGGTAGTCTTCAAGTTTTTTAAAAGAAGAAGTAAATGCTAAAATAAACAGAATTTGCTGTATGTTGTCTGGCCTGATTGCACCAGGTTTGAGTAAGGGTTTTCCCCAGTGTAGACAAGTCCTGAAAGAGCCAGATTAGTGCAGTTACTTAATCCTACTGATCACAGTCAATCTGTTGTCCTGATGAGAAATAATTTACTTCTTGACTGATCATAAAACTGTTGTAATGATAGTCTTGAATGTGCCTTTGGTTAATACAGTGGTCATGGTATTGAACCATTCTTGTTTTTCAGACTGCACTGCTTATTTGAATTCTGCAGGGAAGCATGTGATTGGTGATGTGCAGAACATCACTATTAGCCAGTATGCTTGCTCTGATCAGGTTGCAGTGACAATACTGTGGACAACAAATCCCATTGGTAAGTAGAGGAAAATTTATTTATTTACTTACAGTCATTATATTCCGCTCTTCTCACCCTGCAGGGGACTCAGGGCAGATTACAATGCACAAATACATGGCAAACATTCAATGCCATAGACAAACACACAGAAACTATTTAACATTCCAGCTTCATGAGGGTATTCCAGCCACCAGGGGAGCTGTAGCTTCACCGTCCACTTGTGACACTGATGGAGTACTTCCTTATTCTTTTGCATGCTGCTGGAGATTTTTATGGTATCATAAATTAGTTAAATTAGCCTCTCCGCTTAAAGCGGTACCTAAATTTCCTACTTGACAGATGCAACTGTCTTTCGGACTGCAAAGGTCGACAGCAAGCTAGACAAATGGTCAAGAGCTTACTCTGACCTGGGCTGGCTTCAAACTCATGACCAGTAGTGATCTTAACGCAGCTGACTCCCAGCCAGCTGCGCCACAGCCCAGTTGCAATTAAATGTTTAGTTAGTAATGGTCTGTTGGCAGTTTTGGTGTAAGTGCATTATCAGAAGAAGAACTGTGCTCAGCTTCCAGCACAGTCCATAGTATCTAACTCTTCTCTGATATCTCTATATTAATCACTCTTACAGCTGAGACTAGAAACCTAGTCCAGCTCTGACCACAATTCTTAGTGCTAAGGATATGGCCATGAAAAGAACTGCAGATAGTCACTTTAAGAAGCAGCCTGTTGGAAAGAAGGAGCATTCTTCCCAATGGTTAAAGACACTCCAAACTTTTAAAAGTTAATATTTTCTTTATAATATTTAAATTGGCTTTAAAATGTGCAAAAAGTCAAAGCAAAGTTCATTTTAGTGAGTTCAAAGATGCTGATACTGGGCTATTCTCTCTGTTATATTGTGTGTGTCCCCCTCTGCTCCGCAACTGTGATATAAGGTATATTTTCCTGGAAGTAGTAAACAATATCAGTAGGGGATTTTCTAAATTTAAGATCCTTACTACATTGCCATATAATCTAATTGGTGGTTCCCAACCTTTGCCCCTCCAGTTGTTTTGGACTTCAAGAAATCCCAGCCGGTTTGCCAGCTGTTAGGAACTGTGGGATCTGAAGTCCCAAACACCTAGAGGACCAAAGGTTGGGAACCACTGATCTAGATTATCAAATCAGATAATTCACCATTTTTCTTTGAATTGGATTATATGAGATTACACTAGCATATAATCTAGTTCAAGGCATATTATCTGGGTTTTATATGGCAGTGCTGAAGGAGCCTAAGATTGTTATACAAGTCCAATGGAACAGATCTTAATTAGTGGGGATGTGAGAGAGGGTCTCCTTGGGCTTTCTACACTGCTATATAATCCAAATTATCAAAGGAGATCATCTACATTATCTGCTTTGAACTGGATTATATGAGTCTACACTGTCATATAATCCAGTTCAAAACAAATAATCTGTTTTTATATGGCAGTGTAGAAGAGACCTTGGTGGCTGCTCCTCAACTCTGGCCAGAATAGCCTCCTCTCTGCTGCCCTTCTGGTGCCAGGCCAAGACCTTTCTATTCAGGCAGGCTTTTATAGAAGGTTTTTAAGATCAAGCCAAAGGGCGCTGTGTAGTGTTTTATGTATTGTAATAGATTTTAATGGTTTTAATTTCATTTTAATAGTTTCACATTTAATTCCATTTTAGTCTTCTATGTTTTAAATTATACGTTGTATTGTTTTTAGTGTTGTTAGCCTCTTTGAGTCTCTTTTAAGAGTGAAAAGTAGGATATTAATAACAGCAACAGAGAATTTTAAAATGTGGTTTTATGCACAGATATATCCTAATTACTATATGTCTTAACAATTGCATCTGTCAATGCAAATTCCTAATGGGTTAAATCCATTGTTACCTTGTACTTTTGAAACAAATGGGATGTTTTAGCTATAAGTAACTTAAGACTCATCGATTTTAACAGATTTTCCTCTTGGTAAGGCAATAGTGTGTTTAAAACCACTGATTCCACTAGAAGTTGTACCGTGTGTATACATTAATGTGCTGGAAATAGACATATGTTTTGATCAACTACTTATAAATAAGTTTGGGCAAAATGTAAAAATGTCAAAATTAATTAAATAATTGTAGCATGCTGTATCATATTCAATAGCCCATGGACCTGAATAGACAATAATGAGCAGTTTGTCAGAAGGAATGTGCAAGTGATACTCCATGCTTCCAAGAGTGTAGAGTTACTGAATTGCTAATCTGCAGCTGCAGGTTTGGCTGCATCCAATCTCCATGGGATACAAAGCTTGGTGTTTTCTCTTGTAATGATCAGAGGTTAATCCTTTTGAAAGCATCAAGAGAGAACTGTAGTTGAAGGATCTCAGGTAACGTGGAGCCTGTTAACTCTTCTCTTTCATGGTCTGTATGTTAGCACAAACACTGCTTTTATTCCTCGAAATAATGACACAGTGGGTGGCTCATTTGCCTTTCCCGTTGCAGGATCGTTTGGACCTGAGAAACGAGATACTTATGTAAATATACACACTAGGAAAACTGAATTCAAGCACAACAAAATGTACAAAGTGAAGCTCTTGCAGTCAATTTCGGTTTAAGTGCTTTTGAAATATGGGAAAAGTCCCTATTCCTTTTTAATTGCACCCAGCTGATAGTTGCTTAGACTCATTCATGCCCTGGTTATTCAGAATAGGGGTTCTTGAAATGAATGGTGCTTTCACTACAAATACCACAAAGAGCTAAATGGAGACACAGCTGCATTTTTTTAACCTCAAAAGTAGATGCACATCCAGGCTGACTTGAGACATCTTGCTGTCTGAGGTGAAACAACAAATGTCCTCTCACCTGCTGTTCCCCTAAGTCAAAACACACAGTACCCAAAACCAGCCAGGTTATTTTGGCACACAAGGGAGGGAGAAACATCCTTGGCAGAACAAACTTCATTCCTGGAAAGAAAGAAAAACCCATAATCACTAACTAACAATTTGGAAGCCATTTTTCACACCCCAGATTCGCCTGAGGCATCCACCTCATTCTGCCTCATGTTAGGACCAGCCTAGACAAGATTCCCTGCTGGCCAGTGATACAAAGCGCCTTTCTTCAAAAACATGCTTTTGTTCCTCTTATTTGTTCTAAGAGGAAAGTGTATCAATTCTATGTTCTTTGTTCGTTTTGTTGTGGCACTAAGGATTTTCACTGAGTGTACAGCTGTCATAGCAGCACGTTGTAGAACCCTTCAAAGTATGGTCTGTTCATAATACATGACTGGCTGTTAGTAGTCCTTCTATTCCAGAAATGTCTATACAGAGGCATTCACCCCACTTTTTAAAGCTCTTCAAACTATTTACTGACAGCTAAATCTAGAAAACAAATGAAGAGAGGTAGAAGATTCCCACAAGCAATGTGGTTGGAGCATTAGAGTCAAATCGGATTACTGCCTCAGATTTAATGATAAGTTTGCAATAAATTTCCTGCTGTCCCATCTTGGTCTTTTCCTTATGTTGGAAACACACTGTTTGGCCCTTTCCCACTTGTTTTTTTTTGTCTGGATCAGTTTAAACTGCAATGCTCTCTACGTGGGGTTGCCTTTGAAGACTGTTCGGGAGCTTCAAGTGGTCCAAAGGGCAGCAGCCAATTTCCTCACCAGAGCAGCATATAGGAACCACACAATCCACCTGTTATGCCAGCTCCACTGGTTGCCAGTCTGCTACCGAACATAATTCAAAGTGCTGGCTTTAGCCTACAAAGCCCTAAATGGTTCTGGCCCAGCTTACCTGTCTGAACGTATCTCCCTTTATGAACTATCTCAGAGGTTAAGATCTTCTGGGGAGGCCTTGTTCTCAGTCCCACCTCCTTCACAGGCACAACTGGTGGGCCGAGAGACAGGGCCTTCTCGGTGGTGGCCCCTCGACTGTAGAACTCCTTCCCAGTTAAACCAGCTCAGCTCCCTCCCTCCTGACCTTTAGAAAGAAATTAAAAACTTGGCTGTGGGACCAAGCCTCCGCAGAGTAATTCAATTCAATAAGTGGATATGAAATAAGTGTAATCACAATTGGAATGACTTTTGGACTTTTGACTTTGGATTTGTGTGGTTTTAATAATTGGTTTTAATGCATAGATTTTTATTGTTTAATGCATAGATTTTTAATTTTTATTGTTTTTACATGTTTGTTCATATAACATTGAATTGTTGCCTACTTGTAAGCTCCTTCGGGTGAAAAGGGCGGGGCATATAGTAAATAAATAAATAAACAGCTTTGGACAGTTCTGTTCCTTTCTGGAAGTGAATTAGACCTGTTTGATTGATCTGATACTGGTAAAAATTGGCCCAAATTGGCCTTATTCATTTTGGGATTCAGCCAGAATGGTCTACCAATTCTGTGCAATCCTTCTAGAAACCAGTCAGTGTCAAGGCTTATTATTTATGTGGCCTTTTTTTTTGTATGAACGCTAAGTATCCGTTGTTAAGGTTCCATGGCTCTGTTAGACAGACAGACATCCTATTTATTAAAGCAGCCTACTGTTACATATGTAAGCAGTGAGGGTCTTTTTGTTTAATTTTATACAGGAATTGAATTTCTAAAAGGATTTCGGGTGATACTTGAAGAATTAAAATCAGAAGGAAGACAGTGTCAACAGTTGACTTTGAAAGATCCAAAGCAGCTCAATTCAAGTTATAAATGGACTGTAAGTAAGACATTCAGGGAAATATTCTGTGGATTTGAGAGGACCTTACATAAATATCCCCGTATATAATCTTTTGAATCTTTTGGGCCCCAAATCCTAGAATCATTCTTTTATGAGGCCTGCTATAGCTGTTAGAACTTTATACCAGTCCTCTTCAAAAATGTCATCTTGATCATTTGTATGTGTGTGATGGATTGCTCATTAAAAGATCTCTTGTTTAATTGTAATATTGGAAACAGGAAAATACTTTCTAGGTTTATACCTATTTTTTAACAATCACAGTTCAGCAGGTCCTAATTAACCCTCTGTTTTCCTAGTTCTCAATTTTCTTTCTCCTCCTTTTAGGCATCATAGGCATTTATTATTTGCTCTTTTGCATCTTGAACTAATGTGAACTTTCCATGAGTCCCTTTTGGTTACTGACGAAACAAAGGCGAAATGTACAGTTTGGACAAGTAGCTGAAGGAAGTGCTTATCTGTGTCAAGAACTGCACACAATAACATTTGTGTCCTTGGCACTTGATATCTGAGTGCTCTGGATGAAAATGGCCATCTGTTAGAAGAACAGTATGCCAGCAGATGTTGAGCATTCATGTGGAGGGCCAAGACCACAGGACTCCCAGAAAATATTAATGTATTTGTGAGGCTATAAGACTGCCTCAGATGCTTTTTTAGATAAGATGGGGGGGGGGGCGGATTTTCCAGATCAGATTTGTTTTTTGCTCAGCATTGTTTCCTTTATAATTTCTTGTGCGGCTGAGTGTACTCTCCTCTCTTTATGAACTATTGCCATACTTTTGCAACATAGAATAGCTAATTGAAGGACCGGGAAGAAAATGAATGATAGCTTTGGTGTGTGCTTCTGTTTTGTAGTTCAAAGAACAAGCATGTCAGAAGTTTAACCAGTTTCCATTTTTTAAAATTTAAAAACATTTTGGGAACCCATTTGGGAAGTCCAGAATCCCAAACTTCTTTGCCTGTCCTGTTTTAGTCAATCTGTGTTACAGCAGCCTCCTCAAACCAGCTACTAATTACAAAATATGTGTATGGGTGGCCCCATTGTAACTTATAATCCTATAGACCTACAAATAGGAAGTATTCTGTTCTGTTCAATTTGTCATTGATCCACTGCTTTGGGCTTCACACATTTGTCAAAATATGCGATCCTGTGCTTTTCTTTTCCATTTCTGGCCAAATAGCTGAACCATTGGTTTGTACCATTGAGAATGTGGTCTCTTGGTATCTAGTTTGTTAGTCAGCATGCCCATCGGTTGTCTTTTATTTGTGCTATATGCCCTGCCCATCTTCTTTTTGCCTCATAGATTTCATTGACCATGTCTCATACTCCGGTTCTTTGTTGCTGGCTTTATCTCTTAGTGTCATGCCAAACATCCTTCTTTCCATGGCTCAATGAGTCACTGCCAGTTTTTCCTCCTCTAACTTTATTATTGCCCATGTTTCCGATGTGTATAACTATAGTGTTGAAGATACCTGATCTGACCTTCATTGGCAGTATAGTATCCATTAGCACTGTCTGGTTTTGATTGAAAGTCATCCAAGCTACCTTGCATCTTCTTGCCTATTCTCCATTTGTCCTTTGTAATTTGTAAATTGCAAATAATGGAAAACTGTGATTATCACAAATAGGAACTATGAACATGAATTACGAGAACACATGGCGTTGAAATGATCACATAGGAAATTTTGGAATCAAGTTACTTACAGTCTTTAATTTCTCCCATTTCAGGGTGTGGAATCTCAACCTTTTCTAAATCTGAAATTTGAAACTGACTACTTTGTAAAGATTGTTCCTTTTCCATCCATTAAGAATGAAAGTAACTATCACCCTTTCTTCTTCAGAACTCGGCGTAAGTACAACAGTATTTTTTTTCTAATTTTAAAGGAACTTGGGTCTACTCTAAAGTGTTAATGAAAGCAGGTAGTAAATTTAAAAAAACACATCAGAACATACGTTTAAAGAAAATGGATTCAGAGACTTCGGATGAAGCAAAACTAGTATAATTACTCTTTATTGCAACGTTCAGAATTCTCCATCCCGTGGTCATGATGCTGAGGGAGTCTGTCCACCCCGCCTTCTTGAAAAAGAGAACCTTTTCCAAGCAGTTGTAAAAGACTAAAAGTGGTCTCAGTCAGTTCCTACATCCACAGAAATGGTGGAGTGCAAGAGCAGGTTCTGAGCTGTATTTCCATAAGTGCCCCATATTCTCAAGGTTTCATTCAGCCATAACACTTCTGAGAATCAGGGCCCAGTGCATGCAACCTATCAGTTGCTTGCCACTTCCACTTTATTAAATGCAGGAATAGAGGCTGAAAATTCTCTCTTGGCTTGGTGAGCTTGTGCTCCTCTCTTTCTAAGTACATCTTAGACTGGGTTCCTTCAGAAAAGCTGGAGACTTTGGCCTCTTCCACACAGCTAAATAAAATCTCCATATCTGCTTTGAACTGGGATATATGGCAGCGTGGACTCGATAATTAGTTCAAAGCAGATATCGTGAGATTTTCTGCCTTGATAGTCTGGGTTATATGCCTGTGTGAAGAGGCTTTCTGACTCCTTTGTCCCCAATCCAGTGCTTCTCTTTATGGAGTGAAATAACCCGCAGGTGCCAAGGATTAAAAGTACTTCTTTCTCACTTGGTGAAACAATATGGAGTGCTGGTATAATGATGTTCCTCTTCTTTGTACAGTGAACAAGAAAGTGGTGAGAAAATGTGTATAACTGCATTAGATTTATTATTTTGCAATGCTTGTTCTGTCCCATTGCAAGAACTGTGTGCTGGTAATAGCTGACAGTACCATGACTATGTCAAGAGCTTTCCCAGGGGTGTCTAAGATGGTTGTACTTTCCAAGACCTTCTCTGGTCAGTGTTCAGATTTTTTGGCTGATGTGGGAGCCACCTTGTGAAAACTAGTATCAAAAATATCCCTCTCTCTTGGTTGCTGAATGAATATTTTTAAAAATGAATTTTTATTGGAAAGGTTAACTGTTCCTTTTTTTGTATCCATTTTTCTTGCTAGCTTGTGAATTGCTACTACAGCCAGAAAATATAGCCTGCAAACCTTGTAAGTAGAAATGCTTGTTTCATGCTATCTGTGTTTAGATGATAATATGTGTTTGGATTTTTGAAATAGTATACTTAATCCATGTCTAAACATCTTTTTCTTTGATAGTTTGGAAACCTAGAAACCTGAATGTTACACAGCAAGGCTTTAATATGCACATATCATTTGACCATGCACCGCATAATTTTGGATTCAGATACTATTATCTGCACTACAAGTTGAAAAGTGACGGAAACTTCAAGCAGAAGACTTGTAGACAGGTTTGTTGAGTATGATTTACAATGTTGTGTATATATGAAATTGTTGGAATAGGTCTGGTATCTTTAAAGATATACTGGCAGCAGATTTGGGCAGCAGAGCTGTTCTGCCAGGATGGCTGAGACAGGGCTGAATTATGGGGGAAATAACCAGGAGCACATTTGTGCTGGAATCTTAGCCGCTTTGATCTATGCCGGTCTCTTAAATCTGATGACACAACTTTACATCAGATCACCATATGTGTACATATACATATGCCACACATGTGTGTGGCATACACACAAACACACACACACAAGATATAATGTGTATGCCTGCATTCCGCAGCAGAAAGAATTGACAACACCACCTCTGAGTTTTCCTTGCCTAAGAAAACCCACTTAAATCTGTGGGGTTGCCATAAATCAACTGGTGGTGATACACACACCACAGTATTTTCAGCTCTGGTTTACAGGTCAAGTATCCCTAAACTACAAACTTGTCTTCATGAATGGCGGATACAGTGACACCTTTGCTCTCTGATGATTAAGTATTTCCTGCGCCCATCATTTGAAATTAAATTTACTTTTTAGACAGTGGAACATGCTTATTATATCTGTGGAGAATATACTGTGACACTTAAAATGCATTGGGAAGTACCCATTCTTCCCAGAAAAGCCAAAATAGCTATGATCTATTCACAATCCCTTTCAAATCCCAGTGGTCTTCAGTAAGGAAGCTTTCAGGAAGTGAACGAAATCACCGGCACACAAAAAAGTGCTTTAGTGTTACTGGATTGTGCTTAATGTAATAATGTGGAGCTTCTTTTTCAACAGTGTGCCATAACAGTGGAATCCTATTTGCACTGATCTCTTGAAGAAAGTGTAATATCTTGTGCTATGGGTAATAGGATTTGTAACACTATAGAACACCCTATTGACTTGGCTTGCTATAAGCATATTTTTAATGTAGATTTAAATAAGGGTTGCAATTTTATTTTTTGCAAGCATTACTGGAATCTCCCCCCCCCCCTTCTTTTTGATGACCTGAGACAATAAGCAGTATGTCTGAGCTAAGAGTGCTTTGAAGTTCTGTAGCTTTCTATGGAATATTAATGTAATGTTTTCCTCACAGTCCATAAGACATTGTGCAGATCTCATTTCCTTGGGTGAAATGCTGATTGCTTTCCATCATATGCATTCGTTTTTGGAATTTGCTCCCTTGGGCTGTTTGATATGTTTGGCTGTAGGCCAGAAGAGCTGGTCTATGAGTGGAGCAAGGTTTTCTAGTGGGAGGGAAAGAGCCTTCTGCACCTACATTCACACTGGTATTTGGATTACAGTTCTTAACTGTTTTTATGATTACTGTGCTACGTTTATAAGGCCAAGGGCTCTGAAGTCTTTGGGCTTAATAATCTTGTTCTGGGTTTGCATTTATCTCTACCAGATGAATGTCAGATGTTTAGGAAGCAGTGTGCATTTCCAGACTGGTAGGCTTTTCATGTTGAATTTTCTGCTACTATTCAAAGGCATATAAATAACTTATTAAAATTATTGCCTTTTTGTCTTCTTAGGAGAAAAATGCAGATATCACAAGCTGTGTTCTTCAGAATGTCTCACCAGGAGATTATATAATTGAGGTAATTATTTTGTAGTTTCTGGATTTGGGAAGGAAAGAAATAGGATTTTGTTCTTAAATAGAAGGAGCCAGTGTCTTTCATAAACAATGACATTGGGAGCACATTTAGAATGTGCTTTATCTTTGTGTAACAGCCATGGAGATAATATTCTTTTTAGTACCATCCGTAGTGCAATCACATACTCTTGATAATCAAAAAAGACTTTTAACTGCTGCTCCTTAGCTTTCATGGTTGTATTATAATTAATATTATTTGAGGGCTGGGTTACTGATTAACATTTAAAATTGGCAATAGCAAGTTATGGATCAGCATGTTTCAGTCTTTACATATGTTTGAGTATTTTTACTTTTTACCCAATGTCCAAACCCAATCCAGTTTTTAAAAAACGCAATACATCTTTCCCGCTCTAAATTTGTACGTCCAAATAATGATTCTGAGTTTAAGACATTTTCTTCTTGGGATGATTGATTTCATATAGAACTGTTCAAAACATTAATTTAAACTATAAAGGTAAAGGTAAAGTTTTCCACTTGACATTAAGTCTTGTTGAGTCTGATGCTGGGGTGGTGGTGCTCATCTCCATTTCTAAGCCAAAGAGACAGCATTGTCTGTAGATACCTCAAAGGTCATGTGGCTGGTATGACTGCATGGAACGCCCTTACCTTCTTGCTGAAGTAGTACCTGTTGATCTAATCACATTTTCATGTTTTCAAACTGTTAGATTAGCAGAAGCTGGGCCTAATAGCAGGAGCTCACCTGTCCTGCGGATTTGAATCGCCAACCTTCTGGTCAGCAAGTTCTGCAGCTTAGTGGTTTAACTCATTGCACCACCATGGCCCAATTTAAACTATAGTTGTTACTTATTTTACTGCCTTTCTCCTAGGACTTAAGGCAGATTACAAATAATAAAATATATGGATAAAATAAACATAAAATTAACATGTGTTTTTAAAATTACCTTGAGAATTAAAAGCATCTTAAAATAAATCAATTACAAAGCAGAATCCATGACTGGAAACAGAAGTGAATGATACTTTTTGAGCATTGGTTGTTATAATTGGCAGCCTAGTTAATTGGTGAAAGCTTATTTAGTTAACACTTATAGGTCAGTGGCTCTGCTCTGGTGATAGAGCTTGAACCAGACAGACACCCAGATACCAGAGTCTGGTTCATAATATTGCCTGTCCTTAAAATGTCTGTGATTAGATCTCATCTTGAATGCTCTCACTGCCATTTTAATGCACAGAAATAGGAATTGGCTGTAGGGAACTCAATTTTGTGAATGTGACAGAATGATTAATTCCATTTGCTAATTTAAAATGAGAGCTGAGAGAAACATTATACTTTAAAATATTTTTTTTAAAAATAAAAATACTATATTTTTACAAGTCTGATTTTTGATAGTATCACCTTTGACAACTGCCTGAACTCAGACAAGGGAATATGTATCACCACATTTACTCTGAGATGGTATTTATCCCTACTAAAGTTAAACTATATAACTTATGCTGTAGGTTAGAAAGTGGAATTGAGTGGGAATGGTTTTATATATCCTTGTGACATGGTCTGTTCATTTTGGGAGGAGGTTTTCATTGAAGCATCTCAAATAACCACACAAAAAAACTAATCAAAATATTTCCAGCCCTGGATCTTTTGGCAATCCGTGAGGGGAGTAATGAGGCATTGTTGCAGAAAGCCCTTCTTTCTGTCTTCTGGCCGGCAGCCCACATGGAAATTAAGGCTGCCTGGAAGAAGGATCAAAAGATTTCTACAGTGCAATGGAAAAACAGGTTATGAGAGTTAGCATTAATGGAGAAACTGCACAGTAGATGCATGAGCAAAGCCACGGCTGTAACACAGATGCTTTCCATGACACTTGGTTTCACTTTTTATTATTATTAAATGGATGGGATAGATTTACCTGTCTGCTACTTGAACTTCAACTCATGGTGAGCCTGTAGAAAGGTATTCTGAGCTGGTGCTGTGACACCTATGTTGTGATTGTTACTATGAGTAGATTATGGAATGAAGTTCTGAAGCTGCAGTTCTTCTTAGTATTTATAGATGGTGGCCCTCTATATCCACGGAATCCACCATCCATAGCCTGAAATTTATTAACCAAAATTGAAAAGGCAAACCTTGTTTTTGTCAGTTTATATAAGAGATGCCATTTTATGGCATTGTATATAATGGGACTTGAGCGTCCATGGATTTTAGGAACTACAGGTGTGTATGTATCTGTCCTGGAACCAACTCCCACCAGATACCAAGAGCCCACTCTGTTATGGCTATTTTTCTGTGTAGTGTTTTATAGTTGTTTTTAAAACTGTCTTTTTCCATCTGGACCAAGTCTGGACAGGTTCACACATGCATTCAGCACCTGATTGCTCTTTACATAGGGGTTAACCTGTAAACCCATCCTCATGAAAAGCATTATGTTTGAGGAAACACTAAAATTGTGATGTTTAGCAATTCATTAACAAAGTCATCACTTGATGCTGTATCAGATGATGAAGCATTAGCAAAGTTGTTCATAGGTTCTCTGAGCTTTTAAAATCATAACTTTACTTTATCCTTGGAGGGCCTAAAACCTATGGGGTACAATCTTTGATGGAACTATTTCCATAAAGTGGGGGTATTAATCTTTCTTACCCACTGCATTTACATACCCTGGAACACACAAGCTTGGGAAAACCAGATCTGGATTTTGAGCACCGGGGCTAGCTTTAGCACAGCAGGTTAATCACCAGCTGCAGCTGCAGTAAATCTTGCCAACTCACTGGGTCAGGGTGAGCTCCTGACCTTCAATCCAGCTCTCCGCCCACCTAGCGGATCGAAAACAACAATGTGGGTAGATAAATAGGAACCGCATTAAAGAGAGAAGGTATATTAGGCCTGGCGTTTCAATTAGAAAAAGGAGGAAAGTTTACAAACAAAGTAAGGTCTTTGACAAGGAGATGGAGCAACAGCACCCCCCTGTGGCCAGAACAGAGCCCAGCCTCCAAAGATGCCGAAAGTTGGGAAAGCTTATATATATACCTGTATCTATTGTCTCTCTTGTCATTGTATAATCATCATTGAATGTTTGCCGAATATGTGTTTTGTGATCCGCCCTGATTCCATTTTGGGGTGAGAAAGGCAGAATATAAATACTGTAAATAAATAAATAATAAACATGAGCAAAATATGCAGGAGAAGGAGAATGTGAGAAAAAATGCCTTCACGCCTAGGTCCGCCAAACACAATACTTTCCTCTTGTCTTAAATATATATATTGCAACCTTTTTGCCTTCCTACATTAAAATGCAGTATAACATATTCAATAATTGCCTTCCTATCTTTTTTATAAGCTGGTTGATGACACCAACACAACAAGGAAAACAATGCATTATGCACTCAAACCAGGTATGATTTTTGGCTTACTTAGCAAAAGAGATTATTTTTTCGTTTGGGGTGTCGTGTAATTTCTGGTCTGTATGGTTGCGTTCCAGCAGCATTTTCTGTGGACGTTTCTCCTGCATCTGTGGCTGGCATCTTCAGAGGATCATTTGAGTATGCCAGCCACAGATGCAGGTGAAACATCCAGAGAAAATGCTGCTAGAACACGGCCATACAGCCCAGAAACCACACAAGACCCCAGTGATTCCATCCGTAAAAGCATTCGGCAATATAATTTTTAGTTTCCTTCTGAGATTGCTTCTTTGGCCTATTTATTGTAGAAAGCCCATAGATGACCCATAACCCTTTCCTGTTACATATTTTAAAGAACCAGTTAAGGGGAAGATCAAGTTAGATGCTCAGACATGAGCCAATTGCTCTGTTTCCTTCTTATTATTGGTACTGCCTTGCATGAAAGAGATCAGCATTGTTAACCAGTGCCAGGCTGTTTTGTGACTGTGTGTGTAGGAGGAGAGGGAAGGACTTATATGATCACAGCAGTGTGTATTCAGGTTTCTAATTTGGATGGAGGTTGCAATCTACAGTATTTATAACTTTTGTGACTATTGATGGAAAGATACGATGTGTACTGCAAGTCAGAGCAGGGTGAGTTTTTCATTTTTAATATAGGAATTATATAGGAATGGTAGAATGTCCATCTATGTAGAAGCATCACAAAAACCATTAGTTTAGATCAGGAATTGGCAAGCTTCGGCCTTCCAGGTGTTCTGGACTTCAACTCCCACAATTCCTAACAGCCTACTCGCTGTTAGGAATTGTGGGAGTTGGAGTCCAAAACACCTGGAGGGCCAAAGTTTGCCCATGCCTGGTTCAGATGAATTCATTTTACATGTGTCAACAATGACAATAAAAGATGAGATTGTTCAAATGCCTCACTTTGAACTAATTTGGTGTCTCTTTGTCTTCCCTCCGCCCTCTTTTTCAAAGTGCACTCTCCATGGGCAGGGCCAATAAGAGCAATTGCCATTACTGTTCCTTTGGTTGTCATCTCAGCATTTGCAACACTTTTTACTGTGATGTGTCGCAAAAAGCAACAAGGTAGGTTTTTCTTTTATCTAGAGGATGAATTTATCCATACAGTGGAAACTGAGCTGTTCAGAAGCTGGGTATTCTGTTCTCTGAAGTACATTCCTTCAACCATTTTTGATGTTGGAATCTCTATACCACACAAGACTGTCTAATAATAATAATAATAATAATAATAATAATAATAATAATAATAATAATAATATTTTTTGTATCAGGAGCGACTTGAGAAACTGCAAGTCGCTTCTGTTGTGAGAGAATTGGCCATCTGCAAGGACGTTGCCCAGGGGACAACCAGATTTTTGATGTTTTATCATCCTTGTGGGAGGCTTCTCTCATGTCCGCACATGGGAGCTGGAGCTGACAGAGGGAGCTCATCTGTGCTCTCCCTGGATTTGAACCTTTGACCTGTTGATCTTCAGTCCTGCCCGGCACCAGGGTTTAACCTGTTGCATCACTGGGGGCTCCAATAACAACAACAACAACAATAATACACCAGTACAGGTGGTCCTCCAGCAAAGGATCACCGCCTTGTCGGGGCGCTGGAGCTTGAGCACCTCAATGATGTCATGAGCGAAACCGTGAAGGGCCACCCAAGACGGGACGGTTGTGGCAGAGAGGTCAGACCAAGCGTGATCCCTGGGGAAGGCAATGGCAAACCACTCCAGTATCATTGCCAAGAAAACTAAATGGACCAGTACAACCAGAGATATGTCGGTATGCCATTGGAAGATGGGACTCCCAGGTCGGAAGATGGCCAAAATGCTACTGGGGAGGAGCAGAGTCCAACTAGCACCAGATGTGATGACACAGCTAGCTCAAAGCCGAAAGGAGGGCTAGCGGCCAACAGTTCTGGAGGTGAATGACGAATTCGATGTTCTAAACATCAACACACTATAGGAACCTGGAATATGAGATCTATGAGCCAGGGCAAATTGGATGTTGTTATTGGTGAGATGTCAAGACTAAAGATAGACATTCTTGGGGTCAGCGAACTGAAATGGACTGGAATGGGCCACTTCACATCAGATGACCACCAGATCTACTACTGCGGACAAGAGGAACATCGAAGAAATGGAGTAGCCTTCATAATTAATAAGAAATTCGCTAAAGCGGTGCTTGGATACAACCCAAAAAATGACAGAATGATCTCAATTCGAGTGCAAGGAAAGCCTTTCAACATGACAGTGATCCAAATATATGCCCCAACCACAGCTGCTGAAGAAGCAGAAGTAGATCAGTTCTATGAGGATCTGCAGGACCTACTGGATAATACACCAAAAAGAGACATTATTTTCATTACAGGAGACTGGAATGCCAAGGTGGGAAGTCAAATGACAACTGGGATCACAGGCAAGCATGGTATGGGAGAACAAAATGAAGCGGGACGCAGGCTGATAGAATTTTGCCAGGAAAACTCGCTGTGTATAACGAATACTCTCTTCCAACAACCTAAAAGACGGCTTTATATATGGACCTCACCAGATGGTCAACACCGAAATCAGATTGACTACATCCTTTGCAGCCAAAGGTGGCGGACATCCATCCAGTCGGTGAAAACAAGACCTGGGGCTGACTGTAGCTCAGATCACGAACTTCTTATTGCTCAATTTAGAATAAAACTAAAGAGATCAGGGAAAATACACAGACGAGTTAGATATGATCTCACTAACATTCCTAGCGAATATACAGTGGAAGTGAAGAACAGATTTGAAGGACTAGATTTAGTAAACAGAGTCCCAGAAGAACTATGGACAGAAGTCCGCGACATTGTTCAGGAGGCGGCAACAAAGTACGTCCCAAAGAAAAGAAAACCAAGAAGGCAAAATGGTTGTCTGCTGAGACACTGGAAGTAGCCCAAGAAAGGAGGAAAGCAAAAGGAAACAGGGATAAGGGGAGATATGCCCAGTTAAATGCGCAATTCCAGAGGTTAGCCAGAAGAGATAAGGAACTATTTTTAAATAAGCAATGCATGGAAGTGGAAGAAGACAACAGAATAGGAAGGACAAGAGACCTCTTCCAGAAAATTAGAAACATTGGAGGTAAATTTCAGGCAAAAATTGGTATGATAAGAAACAAAGATGGCAGGGACCTAACAGAAGCTGAAGAGATCAAGAGAAGGTGGCGAGACTATACAGAAGCTCTGTATAGGAAGGATAATAATATTGAGGCTAGTTTTGACGGTGTGGTGAATGAATTAGAACCAGACATCCTGAGGAGTGAGGTTGAATGGGCCTTAAGAAGCATTGCTAACAACAAGGCAGCAGGAGACGACGGGATCCCAGCTGAACTGTTTAAAATCTTAAAAGATGATGCTGTCAAGGTGATGCATGCCATTTGCCAGCAAATAGGAAAACACAAGAATGGCCATCAGACTGGAAAAAATCAACTTATATCCCCATACCAAAAAAGGGAAATGCGAAAGACTGCTCAAACTTCCGTACAGTGGCCCTTATTTCTCATGCCAGTAAGGTAATGCTCAAGATCCTGCAACGAAGACTCCAGCAATACATGGAGCGAGAGTTGCCAGATGTTCAAGCTGGGTTTAGAAAAGGCAGAGGAACGAGAGACCAAATTGCCAATATCTGCTGGATAATGGAGAAAGGCAGGGAGTTTCAGAAAAACATCTACTTCTGCTTCATTGACTATTCTAAAGCCTTTGACTGTGTGGATCATAATAAATTGTGGCAAGTTCTTAGTGGGATGGGCATCCCAAGCCACCTTGTCTCTCTCCTGAGGAATCTGTACAAGGACCAAGTAGCAACAGTCAGAACTGACCACGGAACAACAGACTGGTTCCAGATTGGGAAAGGCGTACGGCAAGGCTGCATCCTCTCACCCAACCTTTTTAACTTGTATGCAGAACACATCATGCGATGTGCGGGGTTGGAATGGCAAGCTGGGGTGAAAATTGCTGGAAGAAACATTAACAACCTCAGATATGCAGATGACACCTGATGGCCGAAAGCGAGGAGGAGCTGAGGAGCCTTCTAATCAAGGTGAAAGAAGAAAGCGCAAAAGCCGGGTTGCAGCTAAACGTCAAAAAAACCAAGATTATGGCAACAAGAATGATTGACAACTGGAAAATAGAGGGAGAAACCGTGGAGGCCGTGACAGACTTTGTATTTCTAGGTGCAAAGATTACTGAAGATGCAGACTGTAGCCAGGAAATCAGAAGACGCTTACTTCTTGGGAGGAGAGCAATGTCCAGTCTCGATAAAATAGTAAAGAGTAGAGACATCAGACTGGCAACAAAGATCCGCATAGTTAAAGCAATGGTATTCCCCATAGTCACCTACGGATGTGAGAGCTGACCATAGGGAAGGCTGAGCGAAGGAAGATAGATGCTTTTGAATTGTGGTGTTGGAGGAAAGTCTTGAGAGTGCCTTGGACTGCGAGAAGATCCAACCAGTCCATCCTCCAGGAAATAAAGCCCGACTGCTCACTGGAGGGAAAGATACTAGAGACAAAGTTGAATTACTTTGGCCACATCATGAGGAGACAGGAAAGCCTAGAGAAGACAATTATGCTGGGGAAAGTGGAAGGCAAAAGGAAGAGGGGCCGACCAAGGGCAAGATGGATGGATGGCATCCTTGAAGTGACTGGACTGACCTTGAAGGAGCTGGGGGTGGTGACGGCCGACAGGGAGCTCTGGCGTGGGCTGGTCCATGAGGTCACGAGAAGAGTCGGAGACGACTGAACGAATGAACAACAACAACACAGGTGGTCCCAGTGGTAATCTGCACACTGGGTGCCATACCAAAAGATCTCGGTCGGCATTTGAAAACAATAAACATTGACAAATCACGATGTGTCAACAGCAAAAGGCCACCATACTTGGATCTGTGCACCATCATTTGAGAATACATCACACAGTCCTAAAAGCTTGGGAAGTATTTAACTTGTTATTTTGTGATACAAAATCCAGCATATATATCTTGTTTGCTGTGTCATATTGTGTTTTTGAGTCAGAATAATAATAATAATAATAATAATAATAATAATAATAATAATAATAATGTATTACCCGCCTCTCCTTGCGGTGACACTGCTGAGATCAGGCCATGAAAAGGGGGCACATATACATGATGTGTCTCATCTGCTGGATCAGAATGAATGCAGGTCTTCCAGATCTGTCCAGAAGTATGGGAGATATGCAGCATTTGAATTCAGAAACAACATTTTTGAGCCTGCTCGGTTGAGGATTCTGTGAGATGTTCAAAGAAATAACCTCCCAGATTTTGGGACCTCTCCATCTTCATAGAAGACTTTTTCAGACAGTGTTTAGACACTGTTGGGCTCAAGTGCCTTCCATAATGAAGGAACTTTTCAAATGTTTAGGAGGAGGGTCTCAATATGTGGTCCTGAGCTGTTATTCAGTCACTTAAGGTTCAGTAGAAATAGTTTTTCAGTAGAATAGACACATAGAAATGTCAATTATCCATACTTTCTAAGGTTACCTCAAGATATTTTTCTGTTTGAAGCAGAAAAATAAGTGCCCACTTCCCAAAGTGAAGTACCTAAGGTTAGAACATGACAATCCCACAAGGGCTTCCTTGCTCCCTGTAATACATACAACATGCATATTTCCCATGAGATTGAATTGCATCAGAATAAGGCTTTCATCTCTCGTAACTCTAAGCAGCAACTTGATATGCGAAATGCCCAGAGACTATTTGCATTATTTTTGGAAGGAAACCAGGAGGTTTTGGGGGGAAAGGGCAGAATGGCCAACCACAAAACGTATACACTGCAGACAATTTTTGTTTTGCAGTACTGGTGTATCTGTGTAGATAGTAAAATACTTCATTTTTGATTTTTTTGTTTCAATTTAGAAAATATCTATTCCCATTTAGATGAGGAGAGTTCGGAATCGTCAAACTACTCTTCAGCTCTCCATGTGGAAAGGCAGCGTCCACGGCCAAAAGTGTTCATCTGCTATTCCAATAAAGATTGCCAGAAGCACATTAATGTCATCCAGTGCTTTGCCTACTTCCTTCAGGACTTCTGCGGCTGTGAGGTAAGCTCTTTGTGTAGGTTGTCCCAAGTGTGACTCTAGGCAAGGAAATGTCGAACCCAAACTTGGCACATTTGGATTTTAAAATAATTATTGTAAATAGTTTAGTCAGTTTTAAAAAAGATGTTGCTATAGACCAGGCATGGGCAAACTTTGACCCTCCAGGTGTTTTGGACTTCAATTCCCACAATTCCTAACAGCTGGTGTTTTGGGCTTCAACTCCCACAATTCCTAACAGCCGGTAGGCTGTTAGGAATTGTGGGAGTTGGAGTCCAAAACACCTGGAGGGCCAAAGTTAGCCCATGCCTGCTGTAGATTGTGATGAGGATTCATTAATCTGGGTTTTGTGTGTATGTTGTGAATGCATGTGTTCTTTTACCGGATTTTATATTATAGGATTTGTAATGCTTTTAGACAAATACAATAAATAATTGACATAGAGCTATTGAAGAAAATTGGTGGAACAAATCAATGGTGTAACATTTAAAAAGCAAGTTTTATTCATTTCCATAAGTACCTGGAATCCTCATACTATTTCTTCCTTTTTAAAAACTTGTTTTGCACTATAATATATATATTTTTGAAATTAGGTGAAAATCTGTATTTTGATTAGCTAGTCTTGGCAAACTTAAAAGACAGAGAAAAGTATTAGCCTGTAGGATTTATTTAGAGTCTTCTTTGTTGGGGACTAATCCTGTCTCTGTGAGGTTTTACATTAATTGGCATTTGTTTGGATTTAACTGTTGGTTTGTGGGGGAGAGGGGGTTATTTGTGGTTTGGCACAAAGAGATTTGCACAGCAGGCCTGACCTCTACTGGTGAAATCTGGGCAAAAGTAGCTGCCTATTATTTTCTATTTTAGTTCTTTTCCAGAGGATGTTTGACTGCAAACTGATGTTAAAGTGCTTTATACCATCAGATCCAGGCCTTGAAAAGTTACTTTTTAGATTACAGCTACCAGAATCTTCCAGCTGCCATAACGGTTAATGTGGGAATTGTATTCCAAAAAATATTTTTTCCTCTGATCAGTCCCACTAGAAGAAGGCTTCTGTAGAATAGTTACTTCATTTTGAGGGAAGTACTATTCAGCAATCCTTGGCAAAGAAGTGGAGCTCCATGCCTGCAGCTCAATTATTGTGGTTCAGTGGTTAAAGGTGCCTTCATAAAGGCACATTTCTGATGTTTGAGCTTGTCACATGTTCCTCAACAGACCTTGGAATTAATTTCTGGCTTTGAAAAAAGTTTCCATAATGAAATTGCACTCCATATCCCTTTATAGGTGCAAGAAATCTTGCCCAGAAACTAGACAACACCCCAATCTTGTACCAATCTTTTTTCATTGAGTGGCATGGGCCTTACCATGCTTAATGAAGAAATTAATTTACCTTGGGCCAGTCACTTTTTCTCAGCCTGGCCTATCTCACAGGAGTGTTAGGAAGAAAACAGAAAACTTATGCACAGAAGCTAAATACAGATTTTGTAATTATATAAAATTGCACTCAACTATGAACTGCCATACCAAACACTTTATCTGATCCATTTTTTTTGGGTGCCAGGTGCACATTTTTCAATATTTACTAATAGATTGGCAAAAGCGCCTCTGAATATCTCTTGCCTAAGAAGGTCCTATGAAATTTGTGGGTTCACCAAAGACAACAGGTGATTTGAAGGTGCACAAACAGGCACACTAATAATGTATGTCAATGTTGGGCCAATTTACATATCAGAATCACGGAATCATTGAGTTGGAAGAGATCGCATGGGTCATCCAGTACAACCCCCTTCCAAGAAGCAGGAATAACATTCAAAGCACCCCCAAAAGATGGCCATTCAGCCTCTGTTTGAAAGCCTCCAAAGAAGGAGCCTCCACTATACCCTGGGGCAGAGAGTTCCACTGCTGAACAGCTCTCACTGTGAGGAGGTTTTTCCTCATGTTCAGGTGGAATCTCCTTTCCTGTAGTTTGAAGCCGTTGTTCTGTGTCTTAATCTCTAGGGCAGCAGAAAACATGCTTGCTCCCTCCTTCTTATGACTTCCCTTCTGGCTATGATGTCTCCTCTAAGCCTTCTCTTCTTCCGGCTAAGCATGCCCAGCTCTTTAAGCCCCCCTCATGGGGCTTGTTCTCCAGACCTTTGATCATTTTAGCCACCCTCCTTTGGACACATTCAATGCAGATGTTTACATGGTATGATATCATGCCTCCCGTATAGGGCCATTAATTCAGTATGTCTCCCCACCTGCTCAACAATATTGCATATGAGTTGCCTTGATGTATGAGCTGACTCTCAAGTCTTCTTTCTTCCAGAAGTTTAGTTGATACCGCTTTGTAAAAACAACAGTAGCATCAAAGCACTGAGCTGTATTAGGCAAATTAGATAAACCAGCTGTTCCAAGAACACAGATACACTCCTTAATAGAAGTATGTAAGTTGTGTGGGTTGTGGAAATTTCCTCCGTCTGTTTTATAATAGTTTCAACTTCTTTTCTCTTTTTGAAGGTTTCCTTAGATTTATGGGAAGACCTAAGGATTTGTAAAGAAGGGCAAAAAGAATGGCTTCATCGAAAAATCAATGAGTCCCAGTATGTTGTCATTGTGTGTTCCAAGGGAATGAAATACTTTGTGGAGAAAAAGAGCTGGAAACACAAGGGATCCAAGGAAAGGGATGCTGGGAAAGGAGAACTTTTCATGGTTGCTGTCACTATGATAGCAGAGAAGCTGCGCCATGTAAAGCACAGCCCACAGGACCTCTGCAAGTTCATTGCGGTCTACTTTGATTATTCCTGTGAGAATGACATTCCCGCTATTCTGGATTTAACTACAAAGTACAAGCTCATGGATAACCTGCCTCAACTTTACTCTCATTTACAGTCCAGAGATCTTAGCCTTCATGATTCAGAGTTGTATCCTGTACACATCAGCAAAAGGAATTATTTCAGAAGCAAATCTGGACGCTCCCTTTATGTCGCCATTTGCAACATGCACCAGTACATTGACCAGGAGCCAGACTGGTTTGAGAAGCAATTTGTTAACTTTTTCCCAGCTCCTTTACAGTACCAGGAACCTGTGATGGAAAAATTTGACTCTGGACTAGTGTTAAATGATTTAGTCAGTAAACAAGTGACTGATGGGGATTTCTGCCTAAAAGCTGATGCAGATATTATTCTGACATTAAATTCAGACTCACATTGTATGGCACAGCATTTGAATCTTGGAGAGGATAGAGAATCTCAGGACGTTCATAATGGTAGCTCCAGTCTTCCACCATTGCTGCATGTTGTGAAAGCTACCAATCTGCCTGATATGCCCCGGGATTCTGGAATTTACGATTCTTCTGTTCCTTCATCTGAATTATCATTACCTTTAATGGAAGGACTTTTAGCAGACCAAACCGAAACCTCTTCCATTACAGAGAGTGTCTCCTCTTCATCAGGGCTGGGTAAGACTGAGCAAACAAAAGAGATGTAAATGAAAACTATAGTCTTAACAATTTTATTTAAAAACATAACTTTAATTACCTCTCTTAAACAAAACTTTAATTGCCTGAATTTATCAGAACTGATACCATCTACCATCTCCTATTGTTGAACTGCATGCTCTTTACAAGTTACAGAATCATGTAAGATCCCCAACATCACCACTATCCTGATCCGGTCATGTAGATTTTGTCAGTGTAGCCTTGCTAAAGCAATATATATTTCAGTTAGGAGAAGCAACAGTTGTGCAACTCTTCTACTATAGTGTGTGTCAGACATTATTTAAGTCAGAGGATAATCTGTTCAGTGAAATGATTGTAAGGGAACAACAACTTTATTTTGTATCCCCCCTCCATCTCCCCAAAAGGACAAGGAACAAAAAGACAAAATCTATAGGACAAGGAACAGTGGTAAAGTGCAGGCCATTGAGGGAGCAAGGTTATCTGGTGAATTATTTAATGAAATGCACAGTGGAACATCCACATTTTTAGTTCTTTTCAAAATATGGACAGGGTGGGTGGCAGTCTAATCTCCCTGGGGAGAGAGTGCCAGAGCCGGGGGGCCACCACTGAGAAGGCCCTATCTCTCTCCCACCAACCGCACTTGAGACGGAGGTGGAAGCGACAGAAAGGCCTCCCCAGAAGATCTTAGAACTCATGTGCTAATACACATAATTCTATATTTTGTTTCTTATTTTTTAAAGTTCATTCATTTTTAAAAAAAATATTTTCTTTTCCTGGAACGGTCCTGGAGCCCCTTGGAAGTGCATGCAAAGCCCTTAGGTTTCCACAGAGCATAGGCTTTTTGCTTATTAATAACTTTTTATGGAGATGAAAGATAATGGTGTCATAGCTTACTATGTGTTGAAGAGGTATTGAACAAATGAAGTAACAGTGTACTTCTAATTTTTGTTTTCTTCCTAGGAGAAGAAGAACCTCCTTTGCTTGCTGTCACAAAATCCCTAGTGCCTGGAATATGTAAAGCAGAGCTTCATTGCCATATCCGCACTGATGAACTGCAGGCAATTGCACCTTTATAACACATTGCGAGATCATTACGCATTGCCACTTTATCAACAGCCTCTGTCTATGCGTTAATATCTGCATCAATCACAGCCACATGGCTTACCTACACTGCTTCTCAGGGGAGTTTATGGCCAGTATACTTCTATCCAAAGTTGTTATTATTATTTTTACAAGGAATTGTTCTGTTTTTATACTACAACACACTTTCTTTTTGCGTTTTGTTCATTCATAATTGTCCTTCATTTACCATAACAAATAATTAATCATACAGATTTCATTGGGAAATATCACACAGGAAAATAGTTCAGAATATAAATCTAAATTCCATTTAAATATTAGAATTTAGATTAATATTATAGATTGAGCATCCCTTATCCGGAATTTTAAAATCCAAACTACTCCAAAACTTATACACAGTGATGGCTGAGATAGTGCAACCTTTGCTTTCTTATGGTTTGGTGTACAAAAACTTTGAATATGCTCAAAATTATTAAAATATTGTTCATATCTTCAGATTGTGTATAAAGTGTATTTGAAACATTACTGCATTCTGTGTTTAGGCTTGGGTCCCATCTCCCAAGATGCGCATGCAAATACAGATGCTCCAAAACCCAAAACACTTCTGATCATAAGCATTTTGGATAATTGATACTCAATCTGCATTTTTTCACTGTGCTACATAATGGTAGATGAACGAAATGGCTCAATAGCCATGTTACTCCAGACTGAGCCATCACTTTTCATGAATAATTCCCAGTGAGGAAGCCATTTTTTTAGTTAAAGCATAATCAGAGCTTCCAGAATTCTCATTCTAATTATGTTGGAGAGGTGAGCTTACAAAAAAGGATGAAGTCATTCATGTAACACTAAGTTAAATGTTAGCATGATAGCCACATAGCTAATGAATAGCCGAAGCTTTTGGTTCTCTGATATTCAGTGCGATACATAACATTGCTTCTGGCTCTGAATGCTAATTGGTCTTGATAGTATAATAATGAGTATACAATAGATTTGGGGATGGGAATACAGGATTCGCGGTGTTGAAATGCCAAAGACTAGGCCTATGAAAGAATAGGCTCTGTAGCAGAGTAGGCTCTATTAAAAATAAATCTTCCTCTGTTTCTAAAAACTCTTGTGTTTAAGCTCTGCCCAGTGTGTCTTGGCAGTAAGTTAGACACAGCAGATTTTACGTCTTATATTAACTTGTGGACCTATTTGTGTTAATCACTATTTTGACATGTTTAGTTTGAGAACAATTTAATTCCATTGTGTTTACTAGATCTTTTCAAACTTTCATTTTAAAATCAAGTGTTCGTTGCATCAGTAAAATGGCATCTTTAAAATGTTCTTGTTTTAACCCATAGATGATAAAATACTATTTGAAGTCTAGCAGGAAAAGGTATGAGGGCAAAAAGTGTAAATCATTATTCAGAAGCTGAAGAATTGTTGATATGATCAAGGACAATAGACTGTCTCTAACACAGGCTTGGGCAAACACCAGCCTTTCGGGTGTTTGGACTTCAACTCCCTCAAGGGGGAAAGGAAGGGGCCTGAGGCTGTTGGGAACTGTGGGAGTTGAAGTCCAAACACTGGAAGGTTGGTGTTTGCCCATGCCTGCTCTAACATCACATGCAAACACAAAATGTAATAAAAGCTTAATAAAGTTATGACCAGAACAGTCTCCACTTTACATTGGTGCTATGGATTTGCTACATATATTATTGTTTGCTTGTATATCTTATACTATTTTCCAGTTTATCACATTGGACATCAAACTGGGTGCATATGTTGTTTGAATATGCAAAGACAAGATGAGCTTTTATGCAAAAAATATTGGGAGCAAACACTTGCAGATAGGGATAGTTGCTTTTTTCAAAACCAATCTTCAGTTCAAAACTTCTATTGGTACTAAATCCCATGAAACATAGAAATACCAGCATAGGATTTGAACTTCGTTGCTTCAGCAGGGTCTGAATGGCAACAGGTACACAAGGCAACAGTACGCAAGGTACAATGAAATATTGTAAATTATTCCAAAAAGGGATTTAGACTTTATTGGATTAAACTGAGAGGGAATTTTGCTGAAGAATCATTCTGGTAAACGAACACTTGATTCATTCTGTTAATCTTTGCACTGCTATTGCCTGCCCTATCTATATGTGGGTTGACCACTTGGAAATGAATCCTGTGTATCCTGATTACTTGAAAATCTAGCCCTTAATATTTTTTTCTCCCCAGAGTAAACACACAATTCTGTTTGGCAGTTTTCAGTGAATAAGATGTTAGAGAATTTTGCGAACCTCAATTATTGTGTATTACAAAAATGTATAATTAAAAAAACTGGATGGAAGGTCAAGTTGGCAATGACAGTCGCTAGAATATGAGACTCACCAAAGTAAGAAAAATTCCCAATGCCCTCCTCTTGGCCCATAGCATTCTTTCTGTCTCACCTTACCATGGCTGAAAGGAAACAGTTCAGCATACCCCATTCATATTTAGATCCTAAAACAGTAGTTCCCAACCTATTTTTTTCGGACCAGTCACCACTTTGACTAGGGACCACTCTCCAACATTAGTACCAAAAGGGTTAAAAATCCATTTTTGGTCAACTTTAGATTTGGTTTGGTTATTTGGAATGCTGATTCAGAAAATTGCATTGATAGACCACGTCAGCTCTAGTTTCTGATACAGAACATATGGCATCCAGTAGTCGCCATCTGCTTGCCGACAAGAAAACAATATTTAATAAGCCTGGGCACTATAAGAGCGTTTCGCGAGACCAGTCGCTCTTGTGTAGACCACGGACCATATCTTAGTTATTGCGGACCACTGGTGGTCTATGGACCACAAGTTGGGAACCACCGCCCTAAAGTAAGATATTAGTAGCTTCGTTTTGGGTGATGCACTTGAAGAATAAACAATTAAAGACTATATTCTATATTACCTGGTGTTAGAAAAACATGCTTCTTTAGGTGGTAAGAAAGCATCTTAATCTGGTTATAGATCAGGCATGGGCAAACTTGGGCCCTTGGGCCCCTTCCTTTTCCCGCTCAGCCGCTTAAACGGTAGGGTGTTAAGAATTGTGGGAGTTGAAGTCCAAAACACCTGAAGGGGCCATGCCTGTTATAGATGCTCCTATAAGTAGCTAAAATAATGCACAATACGTGGTAATATTGCACATAAAAACATAGTTCTGGCTCATGATAGAAAAAGCCCCAGATCTATAGCTACACAGTACATTTATTATGATCAACCAAAATATCCAAACATATCATACAAGCTTTTGAGTTTCCCAGAATGTTATGACATTCTAATGAATGTATTGCTTATTGTGGATATTGGAGGCTTTTTTCCCTTATTGAATAGTACAGCTATCTTTGCCTTCTATTTTTTTTTAATGTGAGCTGCTATTTCTGTAGCAGAAGGGCTTAAAGACTATAAAACTACAGTGGAAATGAGCCTTTTAACTAGGTGATAGCATAGCAGTTTCTTCGATGCTGCCAGATTATAAGTGGCTTTTTGCCCTTTGCCAAGAGGAGTGAACAAAAGGAAAATAGCCCACTTGTTTACATTGTCTTCTGATTGAATCCAGCATGTGTCATACGTTTAATTGAACTCAAAAGAATCCATGGGATATATGAGTCAACCAAGCATTTATAAGGAACATTTAATCTTTTTAGTGCCAGGCTGAGATTCAGTTTTTCAAAGAAGCTATTTTGCAGCCTCACCCCTCTGTAAAATCACCGAACGTGTATAGGAATTACAGGGAAACCAGAACATGTACTTTACTTGTGCAATGGAAAAGAAATTATTACCTTTGTGCCAGTTTGAGTTACAGCTGAAATGTAGACAGCTGCCCAAGAATAATTTTATGTTATCCTAAAAGAGAAAGCATGGGGCTGTCAAATCGTCTGGATATTAATTGTGCCATTTGTCTCCCTTCTGTGGATTTTGGCACTGGCCACAACTCTGTGCAGAGTTCTACATGTTTTACCTTGTTTTGTGGCTACTGGACCTGTTACTGCAGATATAAGGGGTTTATGGTCGCAGCAAGAGCCATTACTGTACATCTAAAGAAGCAAGTTATTTGCACACATGGATTGGGCGCCTTATTCGGTTTTTCCATGTGCATTGGCTTCCCCATGGGAAGAAATATTTCTTACTTTGGTAGGGTAGCCTTCCTGATTACTGGCATTACTGTTTCCTCACTGAAAATGGATGGTAGCATAGAAGAAGACACGAGGGCCCCAATGTTATTTTTCAACAGTGATGATGAAATTATTCTACACAACATTTGTCTTGCTTTTATGAGGAGTTTCCTACCTCACTTCTCTTTTTCAGTTTTAATATTGGGACTGATAAATTGAGGCACAACTTTGAGAAAGAATAGAATCGTGTAGTCCAAGTAACGTTGGATATTAAAAGGTGCTTTTGACTTGTACATGTTAACTCCCTAGCTCAGTGGTTGTCAACCTGTGGGTTCCCAGATGTTTTGGCCTTCAACTCCCAGAAATCCTAACAGCTGGTAAACTGGCTAGGATTTCTGGGAGTTGTAGGCCAAAACACCTGGGGACCCACAGGTTGAGAACCACTTCAAGCTGAAATAAATGGGAGCTTAGAGCTTAAATGGCTTAACCTTTGTCTGAATTGTGCTGCCATGTATGATGTGCTTGGGATCATGGGTTAAAGCTTCTCCTGTTCATGGAAGGAACTGAATCCAGCAGAGACTTTGGGGATTTTTCAGAGATTCTCACAGGGGAAGGAAGGAATCCATCCGCAAATCATCCTTTCCTCTTGTAAAGTCAGCAATAACATTTTCTGAATGCCAAAAATGTTAATATACATTTTAGAGATTAGATTGTTTTTATTTTAGCATTGTTATAAAAGCTGAACTGTTTTTTTTTAAATGGGACCATAATCCCTTGTGTATTTTTAGAGTACACAAATGAGGAGGTGAAATGTTTTTAATGTTTATAATTCTTGTTTTGAAAACTAAAGATGTATCTACATGGGTCAACACTTAAGTAAATGTAGCAGTTTTCATGTTTGTGTACATGGATATAAGCTCTCTACAATAGTTGATATTTGGATGGATTTAATTTTTGTTTCAATAATTTTAGAAATTAACACCAGAATAAAAAAGTTATGAAACTTCAGCCTGAGTGTCTTCTTTTTTATTACAAAAGCATGTTTTTTTAAAAAAAATTATTCTTTTTTGTTTGATTCTTAGCAACAGAAAAATAAAATTTTGAGTTTGCACAAACTTGTATTTCTATGATATGATACAGGTAAATGTAAAGGTTTCCCCTTGACATTAAGTCTAGTTGTGTTCAACTCTGGGGGGTGGTGCTCACCTCCATTTCTAAGCTGAAGAGCTCACATTGTCCGTAGATGCCTCCAAGGTCATGTGATCAGTATGACTGCATGGAGCACTGTTACCTTCTGGCCAGAGCGGTATCTATTGATCTATTCACATTTGCGTGTTTTCAAACTGCTAGGTTGGCAGAAGCTGGGGCTAACAATGGGAGCTCACCCCACTCTCTGGATTCGAACTGCCAACCTTTCGGTCAGCAAGTTCACCAGCTCAGAGGTTTAACCTGCTGCGCCACTGGTGGCTCCGTGATATGATATAATTCAAATACTACTTTGTGCACTGATATCATGAGTGCTATTTATATTTTAAAGGGGATCAAATAAAACAGGACAAGAATGTAGAATATGTTACATTAAATGACACTAACTACTCAGCTGAGGAAATTACTTCTTTGTTCATATTAAATAGACATATCATGGTGTGCTACAAATTGAAGAAATGTTAAGAGGCAATATTCTAACTGGAATATGCCTGCTATGAAATGTATATCGGATTTGTGAGTTTAATTTGAGTTTATTTTAATAAAGCCATAAACAAATTATAGTGCCATAAACAAATTATAGTGCCAGACTTTCTCTGGACTTTCTCTGGAAAGCCTGGTTGCAGTAGAACAGGTGTATAGCCAATGAATGCGGTTAAACTCCTGGTTGCTGGTATTTTATAAAGGAAAAATGTTTTTAAGATGGTTTTAGGTTGGTAAATTATATGTTGAAGACATGTGGTACTTGATTTTGGGAAGGTGATGGACTAGATGTTTTCATCGACAGTCAGCCTTCCATATTCATGGGTTTGATGTATTGTTGAAGGATTTCTTGGCTGGAATCACTGGGATGCTGTGAGTTTTCCAGGCTGTATGGACATGTTCCAGAAGCATGCCTTCCTGACATTTTGCCCACATTGATGGCAGGCATACTCAAAAGTTAAGGGGCCTGTTGGAAACTAGGCAAGTGAGGTTTATATATCTGTGGAATGTCCAGGGTAGGTGAA